GACAAAATCAGGGAGTGCTTCAAAAAAGGGAGAGCAATACAAATCTAAAAGGCCTTGTGATGTAATACTTGATAGCTGCCTAATATCTGAAATGTCCTTGTTTCACCCAAAATCATCTAAGAAACAGTGAGATGTGGATAACAGAGACACAAGGAAAGGAAAAATGGTCCCAGCAAAGAATTGCCTTCTGATTCTCTGATTTAAAATTAATAGCAATACCTTTGTCCAGTTGAGGGTATCCCTCAAATATATACCATCTTCACAGCATTTTTATGTAAGCACATGAAAATACAGAACATGTTGCATGCCAGCTGTTTAAGATGAGGCTTGACTGTGAAGGAGGTCTAATACATGTTTTAGAGGTGATCATTTGCTATTCCATTTGGAGGACACCCCAGATCAAGAACAAGCCAAGAACAAGAAAATAGAATCAATTCAGTTTTTCATTGTGATACCAGAAAATGTATGGTCTCCAATATATTTATTTTTTCATTTTCTTGAGACATATACATGCACACACACACACACAAAACTCAAAGGAAAAAATGGTTTTCCTTCCTATTCTATAAATTACTCTTTTTTCACTTGGTACTATCTTGAAACTCAAAAAAGAGAATTACTTCTCTTTGAGAAGAGCACCATACATTAATGTTCTCTGTTGACTACAAAAAAGTCTTGCTTGAACCAAGTTCAGTTAATCGCAAACTTCCCATCAATGTCAGCAGTGAAGGATTAGTCCTTAAAACTTTACTCTATAGCATGGGATATAAGAAGGGTCTCCTTTAAAACCAACCAACCAGCAAATGTGTAAAAATAAGCATCCATGAAACATTATTGTCTGAGATGGAATAGTAGGGACATAAGAGAACAAACAATATAAAGAGAGAGCATGTTTTTCCTTGCCTGCTTTACAATAGCTATGTTTCTTTAAAAGAGAATAGGTAGAAAGATAAGACATGCATGCCTGATACTGAAGAAAAGACTGTTTGTACCCAGCACACTGGATAAATTGTTCAGGAACAGTTCAGCCATGTCAAAATATGACCCTTTAATGTTGCCAAGGTCAGTCAGACCTGCAGTCATCTGCTGGCTTAGTGGTAGTTAGAGAGGTCAAAACTGCTGGTGAGCTGTTTAAAACTTATGCACCTGATTTTTCCAAGATTTCTCAAACCTGTGGGAAGGGGGGCTTCAAAATGGTCAGAAGCTGAACATTTACTGAAGCATCAAGACTTTAATGTGGTCATCTGCACCAAGTTTAATGAGGCCTACTTACGTACCACTTTACAGTCTTGATACAGGGCTTAAATGGGACTAAGAGAGTACTTGGGTTACGTGCTGGACTTTTATACATGGTTGAATTTCTCTCTTTCACATACACACTGCTCAATTTATGAGTACACCCAAAGAAGGTGGAGCCAAGACCCTGCTCTCTTTCCACATCACACCTCAAATCAGAAAGTGTAACTTTTAAAGCCTGCATGTGTAATGGATAAGGCATGTTTCTTTAGCATTATTAAAGTAGAGGAATTGAAGGGGGCAGGGAGAACTAAAGCCTAATTTAACCCCTATTTCTCCCATGGAAAGGTTTGGAAAGGTAGTCTTTACATCAGAATTCAGCCTGATCCCTGGAGGCAGCTCTAATGTTTACACAGCAGGGAGAAAAAAACATAAAAGTTCCATTCCCATGGAAATGAATCATACAGGTGCATCCTGAAAAGCAGTTTACTTGCAAAAAACCCAAACCAAAACAATAGCATTAAGACACAGATTAGAACCATGACGGTAGTTACTCTTCCACTCAAACAAGTACTATTGTTATCTCAATCTGTGGATGTTAATCAACATATGATGCTGGAAATCAGTGACTTTCAAACATCTGCTATATCATTTTTGAATACTACACACACACACACACACACACACACAATCACTTCCACTTTAGAGTAGATTTATGGCTAACACCTACCACTGACATACTGAAGTTTGGTTAAAACCTTGGTTGAGCTACTTTGTAACCAAAAAAAAAAATTGTGAGTGGCTATAAAAAGTCACGTAACACAAATGACTGGATCTGCTCCTTAACATGGGAATTATGTGTTACCATGTGCTTTGCAAAAATCAGTTCTTGTTCATGTTTGAAGAGGGCTGGCACATATTTTAATGGACAAATGTCACTTTTCATGCTTTTCTCTTTCCATTGCTTGATGATGCTGCTCAAGAGCATTATCAGATTTACAAAATACACCAAAAAAGTAGAATCACAGATTTGAATGCCTTACAGGCAATATGCAGGATGTAGCTCTGGCATGATCAACCCAGTTCTTTCTATGTTTATCAAGGGAAGACTCTCCTCCAGCTTGCCTCCCTGACAGAAGTGCTGCCCCTGGATAATTAGGGTTTGCAATTATTTTGTTTAAATAAGACACATGCAAACTAACTGGACATGGTTTTTATCTGGCACAAATGGTACTTCATTGAAGTCAATTGAGCCTTGCTGATTTACTCTCCTGACGATCTGCCCCAGGATTCTAGCCAACAGATGTACATCACTGCTCATGGGCTACCTGGTCTTCTCTTTCCATGGTTGAAAGATAAAAGAGATGAATCGAGTCCTCTCTGTTTAGGGTCTGAATAGACAAACTAACATTCTGCTTCCCTACAAGGTAACAGAAGGCAATTAGTTCCAAGGTTTTCAGAACCTAAATGCTGCCCTTATTTTTCCCATTAGTGGAAGAGGATTCCTTTTTCTTAGGAAGAAACTGTTTCAGATTAGTATGTATATATATCAGATTATATATATATATAATCTGATATATATCAGATATATATATAGAGAGACAGTAGGCTTTATTTTGCTCTCATTTAAACCACCGTACATGAAACATTCGTAGAATTACGCTGGTTTAGGTAAGAAAGGGTGTTCATTACTAGGCAAAGTTTTTGCAGCAACATGTTCTGGAACTCCTAACTCAGTAATTCTCAGCCAGGGTGCTGTGGCACTCAAGGGTGCCTTGAGATTCTTTCAAAGGTGCTGCGGGGTACCAGTCACTGTTTGGTGTGCAAACGTGATTCACCAGATAAGCTGAGAGATTTCAAATAGTAATCCGTAGTGTTAAAAACAGTCTGCCTTGTTATGGGCTTTCTGAGTTCTTTGCAGTAGAAGAATTGCTCTAGTATTTTAATCCAGTCAAAAAATGAATGAAAAATAAGACCTAGCATTTCCTGAGGGATACCTTGCATCTATGTAGGATTCTAGAAAGGTTAAGAACCACTGCTTTAATTTCAGCAATTACTAGTGATCTCAACACCTCTTTTCTTATAACTAGGGGCACTTCTATACAAGTTGCAAGACGTTCTGATTAACTGAGTCTGCTGCAGTGTTCTAATCAGAATGCTCTAGCATGCTGCAGCGTCTCATGTATTCAGCGTTCTGCATTTCAAAATGGCGGTGGTGCTTTAATGAAAGCTCGTCGAATGAGATATACTTTAAGTACCCCTGCTGCCATTTTGAAAAGTGGGGCACTAAATACATGGGAAGTAGTGGGTATTTTCATTAGAGCAGTTCCTGAGAGCCTCTTTTAATTAAAATGCGCCCCCTCCCCACCCAAACACCGCACTCCGGAGCACATGTAAAAGTGCCCCAGGGCTTTTGATTTTTCAGTACTCTGCTGCTCAAGTACTCTCTGGGTGCAGCTATATGTGCAAGCAAAAAGCTCTAGAGCTTACTGCTCTGGAGTTTATTGATCCCAGGCATGCTGTTTAACATGCACCCAGGACCACAGCACATTGAGCCAGGTCGGAGCAGCTCTGACTGCAAGACAGCTTAGGGGATCAGCCTGCTAGCCTGGGGCTGCTCTCCCCTGGCTCAAGGTACAGCAGAGAGGCTGGCTGGAGCTTGAGAATGCTTCAGTGTGGGGCTAGCCAGCAGGCATCCCCCACACTGAAGGACCCTCATGCCTCAGCCAGCCAAGGCAGCATCTACATATGCGCTGCTGCAGAGTCAAAAAGCCCGCAGCAGAACAGTACTTGTATTTACTATCCTACTATGCAGGTATTTACAAGTACTACCCTGCTGTGGAGTTAGTTTACTCCAGCCTAATTGCCCTGCACATGTAGACACTGAGTTTATTGTGGCGCTAATTAGTCAACTCCGCCATAAACATCTCATGTAGACATGCCCAGTGAGAAGGTGTTTGTGTATGTACTGGAGATAGGAAGCATCATGTGATTCTTCCTTGTCTCTTTTATGCAATGTGTCCTGAGAGTACCTTCCAGTCTGACTGAAGCAGAGAGGAGTGGTAGATGCTTATCATCCGGCAATATAATCCTGGTATTGGTACTTGTAACTTGTTTCCATTGCACAATTATTTTGAATGTTCAGAGCTTCAGAGATGTCCTACAGCTCTGAATGAGTATACAGAGTTCTCTGCACCATTTGAAAGCAGAAGTTTTACTTCCGGGGGAGAATAGATTCCCCTTTGTCCAATGTACTGCCTCCTAGCCTTCCTCATACATTGTGACTGATTCATAAATTCATAGATTATGAATGACCCTCATAAAAAATGAAGCTGAGGATAGTGACAGAAGTATCTCCTTCCCCTGGGAGGGGCCACTAACAGCTGCAATCCTTGTTCTCCAGAAGCAGCCAGGGATTGGTTCCTCAAATTACTTTTACCTACTCATGTTGCTTCAAAGAGAGAAGGGAGTGGGCAGAGATATGCAACTTCTACCACAGCCCATGGAGCACTAGGCAGGAGCCAGATGTACCATTTTAAAAGGTGGCACCGCTAGGGGCTAGGGCATTCCACATGCACATTTGGAAACTGAAATCATGTGGCTGTGCCCTAAGCCTTTCAAGGAGCTTTGCCTTAAAAGCACAGTCCAGCACTTTATGCTTCACAAAGTTATTATCGGCAGTCCTCTTGCCAGTGGCAGTCTGCCTGGGACTGGCTTTCTATCTTTGAGGAGGCTATTTCAAGCTGTTACTGTCCGTAAGTCTTTTTAATCGTTCAAGGGAGGCAGATGGAATTTAAGGACTCCATTCCAGTATTCCCAACAACTGTCATGCGTGAGGCTGTAGCAGAGAAGTTCACCTGACACGGTTGTGTGATGAATGGGACTGGTGAAGGGAAGGACTTGCTCAGGTACATATCAGAGATATATCCTCTGGCATCTCTAAATCAATGGTGGTGGATTCCATGCAGGGTAATGAACAGGCGATAGATCACTCTAGATATACCTGTTTCAGTGCTCTCCCTCTAAAGCTGGGGTGTGCAATTATTTGGGCAGGAGGGTCACTTAAGGAGTTTTGGTGAGCTGTTGCAGGCCAGGAGGTGGGGAGGGGGGAATGACCCAGCCTGGCACAGTGTTGGGGGAGTGGTGACCCAACCTGGTGCAGCAGGGGTCAGGGAGGTGCTCATCTGGCCCAGGCCCAGCAGGGGAAGGGGGGTAATATCTGGTTCCAGACCATCCACCCAACACCCACCACTGAGGGCACTGGACAGAGCAGATGGTGGGTGGGTGAGGTCTCCCTGGAGGCTGGCCCAGGACCCCTGCAGGCAGGGTGCACTTGGCTGGGGGGAGATGGGGCCACAGGGAGGTGTGGAGCAGCACCCAGGAGTAGGACACATGGGTGGGGATGGGATCATGGGGTGGTGACAGTGTGGGCCCAGGGCCGGGGGCAGAGCTGCAATTTACTCCTCACACATCCCTGCAACAGGTGCCGGTTTCAAAGGCGGAGATGTTCAGGGAGCAGATCACAATTTTGCCCTGGGCCCTGGCTCTGTGCTGTCACCACCCAGTGATCCTGGCCCCTGCCCACTCATCCTGCTTCCAGAGGCAACACCGTGCCTGCCTGTGGCCCCATTCCATGTGCCCAGCAGTGCACGCCCTACCTGCAGGGATCCTGGGCCAGTCTCCATGGAAACCCTACCCACGTGCCTGCTCTGTTTGCCACCCTTGGTGGTGGGTGCCAGGCAGCAGCCAGGCGGAGTGAGCTACTGCCACGGAGGCTTTCAGGAAGCCATGTCTGGCCACTATGCTGCTCCCACCCCACCATGCACCTGGGAGTGGTGGGACTGGCTATATATGCTGTGGCCTGGGCTTCCCCCTGTGCCTGGACAGGGCATGGCCAAGGGACTTGCCATGGATAGGTTAGAATCCCTTGGCAGGCCAGATCCAGCTGCAAGGCTGTATTTTGCCCATCCCTGCTGTAAAACAACCATTTCTGCCACTGTTGTAGACAGGATACTGGGTTAGTTGCATGAGCAGATGTAGGGTTCAGTAAAGAGGGTGCAGTAAACTACCCTGGGAGCAGGTGCCAGAAGAAAGAATCTACCCCCTTACACTGGCAGCTAGCCCTGACACTGTCACTGTCCCTGGCCTAGCCACACCTGGCAGCCACTCACTGAGCTCTCAGTGGGAATGGGGCAGGAACAGCTCTGGGCTTCCCTTGTACCCGTGTCATTCAGGAATAGCAGTGGTGGGAAGGGGTGTTTCCTCAGCTAGCAGGAGGCATGGTGGGGGAGTGACAGGGAGCAGGTACAAGAAGAGGAAAACTTCCCACTACTCCCATTGTCATCTGCTGAGCTTAGCACACAGAAACTCTGCTCCTGATGGCTGAAGTGAGGCAGAAAAGGGTTTGGAGCTCCCACTTACCCCAGTCACTTGGGATCAGGAGAGGCAACAGGTGGGTCCCTCCTGTCCCGTGCCAAGCCCCCTGGTGTCCCTCATAGACCAGGCAGCCTCCAGCTCCAGGAAAAGGCTCCATAGAGTGCAGGGCTCAGCCAGAGATGGCAGCAGTGGAAAGGGGGATGCAGCTGCACTGCTGCAACCACCTTGGATCCAGCCTTAATTAGATGGACCCTGCATTGTTTGACCCAGTGTGCCACTCCTTATGTTCTTATAGTCTTATGGAAGCAAGCTGGTGGCCAAGCTGTTGAGATAACCACAGAGGTTAACCTCTATGCATGCTCCAGGTAGATCTTTTTCCTATCTTACTGCCTGCTTATTTCATTTTTCATTATTAATACCACAGAGCTACATTAGATATCATAAAATTCTTTTGCAAAAATAATCTTGGAGTTTTAACACTTTTATGGAGAGTTTCTCATAAATTACTGATCTAGCAATCCAACCAAAGTTCCTTTTGAGCTACCTTTTCTTTGGCAACATGTAACAGAGACTTACGTCTTGAAGATACTTTTAGATGCCTAAGTATTAGTTTAAACAAGTAAATTATGTTTTCTGCTTTCATGGTTTTATAAGTCATAAATCGTCACTTTAGAACATAAAACTGAAGGGGCCATGGCAATTGTTTGAATTCAAACCCAGGTTAAGTGGCATCCAGAGTTTACTCCTAGTACTTTTTCCATAAGTTTCACTCAAGCCTTTTCTAATCCATATCATATTAGATCATCACAATTAGTATCCTTGCCAGTAGCTCCAATGAGGGAGGTCAGGAACTGAATAGTCAGGCAAGACCATGACAATGACACCTGAAAGTGTTACAATATGTCCAGATCAAAATTGAAGGAACAACAGAAAACATGTACAAAGAGCCCTGCATTCATTCTGCTCAGATTTTATCCCATTAATGGCGCAATAAAAGACTCTAGACCCAAATATTTGTTTAAAATACCCAATGACAAATGCAGCAACTCCTACAACTTCTACATTTTTACATTTCTGTGAAAGCTATAGAGAAAAAGCAGATTGTCATTTTGATGTAAGGCTTGGAAAGTTCTTTGTAGCAACTCTTTTTATTTTCTTCTGTTTTAAAGTGTGATGTGCCGTTGTCACTAGTAGTGATAGTGATGAAGCTATTAAAATCTTTCTGCATCTTTGCATGTGCATTCATGTGTACATGTATCTAGGCATACAATTTGCATTTGCAAGGAAAAATCTGATTCACTGAGAAAAGATTTGACACTATGGGTCTAATATAATCACAAGTTTGTGGATGCATTGGTAATTTCTCTAAAGAAATAAGTAGCTACATTCCATTCAGCATTATTGATTTTAAAATGGGCAGGTATGTTACTGATGTGTGTTGTCAAGAGCACTTTTCATTTGACCATGGTCTCACAATCTGTCCCAAATATAGAGGTGCTCTGCGTTAACAGTCATCTTGTTTTGCTTTGCTTTATTGCTTTTAAATTGGCAGATATTGCGATTTTGTCAAACTGCTGTATAGCTGCATGCTAGCTGAGGTTTTTATTTAGTTCCATAAAATAAATCAAATAAGAAAATCAAGTTATTTTCTTTATTATACTCGGTGATCATACAGAACAGCAAAACTGCATGCCTATGTAAGGTATGACATGTTAGATGTCTAATACCTTTGAGGAGGAGAAAATTACCACTCGTTATGCTAAGTAATGCCTTATATCAGCATGTAAATAGCTTTTCTTTGTAAGCAATCACTACTACATTCTGAACACAAAATTAATATATCTGATTTGTTTATGTATTCGTCTAATTTAGGGCCAAAGATTTTGCATTAGAACTAGATATGAAAATATTTTACCAAAATTTATCAATGCTACATGCTGAGGCATGTGAGTGTGTATAAGTCTGTGGTGTGTATGTATATAGCTACACACACGCATACATGAGTTACACACTCAGTATCCATAAGTTAAATCAGATAAGCTATACAATCCTGTACTTCATGTTAGAAGAGATTTTACTCATCTCCCTATTTCTGTCAGTTGTAGTTTTGGTGGGAAATTAAAAGTTAATTCTGTCTTGTCCTTTTGTCTTTTTCCTTATCAGTATTGCCTCCAAGGCATGCTAAAGTATGCTGAAAGTGACCTTCAGTTTACTCATATCATCCTGACACAAGTGATTTAGTCTCCCTACTTGTCGTGTTCAGTATTAACCACAAGAAAGTCACTCTCTAGCAAATATTTCAATATACTCAACACTCCTTCACCCACACACTTTGTAGAGCCAGCAGTATAGTCATTTTAAATTCCCCATCCTAAATTGCAGACTATTTTTGTCACTAGTACATGCAATTAGTATCTTCTTTCCCCATTCTAAAAAGATAATTGTCTACCATAATAAAAATGGAGACAGAAGAGGCAGTCAACACCTCCAGTTTAGCTTTTCTGAAGTTGAAACTATAAGCAGGGTTCAAATTATGAGGGAGCTCAGGGCGGCTGAGCCCTCCCATTACAGATGAGAGCCCCCCCTGTATGATTTGAAAATCATAAACTGGGGGGTCTCCAATTTCGTTACGGAATCATAATGGGCAACCCAATATTTTTGCAGATCCCACCCAAGAATCAAAGTGTAATTTGAACCCTGACTATAAATAAGCTAGGAGGAGACAGAGGGACAATGAGGAATTCAGGCCTAAACAGAAGATAACTCAGGTTTGGAGGGAAGATTTGAGTTCTCTTTGGAATAATCATGTAAGACAAGGGTTTGCTGGACCAAGATGTTGAAAAAGAAAAAGAAGATAACTAAAGAAGGAGCCCTGTGGCAAACAGACAAAGCAGAGAGAAAGATGTCTCCAACAAAAGCACCTAAGGTGAAATCCTGGTCCTACAGAAGTCAAGGAAAATCCTGCCACTCATTCATGTGAGGCCAGAGATTCAGCTGAATAGTGTGGTGAGAAAAATATGAGAAGGACAGAATAGGACAAAGCCACAAAAACTAAGAGAGTTAGGGTCAGTTGTGACAGCTGTTGATTTAACAGTTGGTTTTGGCGCCTAAAGAGGTCAATGAGAGTCTTGGTCTGTCTGCTGGCACATATATGTATGATGATGCATGATGAAAAGTCAGTGCTGTATGCACTCAATTGCATGAGGATGACTAGAATTTTTACAGGGATTAATCATGTTCACATGAGGAAAACAGCAAATGGTTGATCATAGAAAAGAATGGGAAGGCTGGCTATTCTTCACAGTCTACTTTATGCTCATGATATTCTGGTGCTGTCATTTCTCAGTTACTAAAATCTGCTGCTTCGTCCATGTCATTCCCTATTGACATCAAAGATACCTGCTACACTGGGACAAGAAGCATAGGCAGGCTATCTGCATGCCAGTATAAAAGGAATAATTTTCAGCCCACTTAAACATTACCCATGCCAAAGATCATTAAACCAGGGGCTCTCAATCCCTGGGCTGTGGCC